GGGTGCAGGCTTCGCTTTACCTTACAGGTGAGACTCGGACGGCTGCGAGGCAGCGTCGCAGTATATACCACTTGCTCGCTCTGGGGGGGGTCCCCCTCTCCCCCTCTCTTCCCGTCCCCTGGCCGACCGCCCAAAACGGGTGCGTAGGGCTTTTTCGCCGACTTGCACTGGCCAAGGTGCGGGGTGCGCCCGCCGCTTGCCGCGGGGCGCCCGAACGCTGCTGCGCCAATCGGTCCGATCTCTTCTCCTCTTTTCTCTTCTGTTCGCTTCTATTATCTCCTCGTCTCGTCTCGTCTCGTCTCTTCTCTTCTCTTCTCTTCTCTTATCTCTCCTTGTCTTTTTTTGGTTCTTCCTCTTTCTCACTCTCCATCATATTTTTCCCCATATCCTAAGATGGGGCTCTCGTTATTACTTGGACGGCGCCGACTCCAACCATAACCAGAACCCCTCCTCTTCTCCCTCCTCCTCCTTCCTCTCTTCCTCCACAAGCTTACTCGTGCACAGGCTTACTCTTACTCAGACTCATGTATACTCAGACCTAGTCATACTCAGACTTACTCATACGCAGATTTTCTCATGATCATATTCATTTAGACTCAGACCAAGTCATACTCATACTTCCTCATACTCAGCAGTCTCGCTATCCTAAGGTGGGGTTCTTGTTATTACTTGGACGCCTCCTCCTCCTCCTCCTCCTTCCTATTCTCGTCCCCTCCTCTTCTCGTCTCCTCCTACTCGGACTCACTCATAATTATACTTACTCATACCCAGACTTACTCATCCACAGACTTTCTCATACACAGACTTATTCATACTCAGACTTACTCATACCCAGACGTACTCATACACATACTTACTCATACTCAGACCTACGCATACTCAGACTCTCTTAGTCTGACTTACTCAACACACATCAGGTTTGGAGGATGTCTCAGGCGGGGCGCTGGTTTCAGCACCCCTACGGGGAGCCGCCAGGAGTGTTTGCACGGGCCCGTTCGCGGCCATGTTGTGGGGATGTCTCGAGCGGTTTGCCTGTCTTCATGCTCAACATCCTTCGCCTGGAGCGCAGATTTTGAGGATGTCTGAGGCGGGGCGCTGGTTTCAGCACCCCTAAGGGGAGCCGCCAGGGGTGTTTGCACTGGCCCGTTCGCTGTCATTTTGTGGGGATGTCTCATGCGGTTTGCTGGTTTTCATGCTCAACATCTTTTGCTCTCAGAGCAGATTGTGCGGATGTCTCAGGCGGGGCGCTGGTTACAGCTCCCCTAAGGGGAGCCGTCAGGGGTGTTTGCACGGGCCCGTTCACGGCCATTTTGTGGGGATGTCTCAGGCGGGGCGTTCGTTTTCATGCTCAACATCTTTAGTTTCATAAGAGATTGTTGAGATGTCTCAGGCGGGGCGCTGGTTTCAGCATCCCTCAGGGGAGCCGTCAGGGGTGTTTTCATGGGCCCGTGCGAGGCCAGGTTGTGGAGATGTCGCAGCCGGTTTGCTCGTTTTCATGTCCAACATCCTTGGCTTTCAGAGCAGATGTTGAGGATGTCGCAGGCGGGGCGCTGGTTTCAGCACCCCTAAGGGGAGCCGCCATGGGTGTTTTCACGGGCCCGTTCGCTGCTTGCTTGTTTTCATGGCCAACACCCTTTGCTTTCAGAGCAGAATTTGAGGATGTCTCAGGCGGGGCGCTGGTTTCAGCACCCCTAAGGGGAGCCGCCAGGGGTGTTTGCACTGGCCCGTTCGCTGCCATTTTGTGGGGATGTCTCATGCGGTTTGCTGGTTTTCATGCTCAACATCTTTTGCTCTCAGAGCAGATTGTGCGGATGTCTCAGGCGGGGCGCTGGTTACAGCACCCCTAAGGGGAGCCGTCAGGGGTGTTTGCACGGGCCCGTTCACGGCCATTTTGTGGGGATGTCTCAGGCGGGGCGTTCGTTTTCATGCTCAACATCTTTGGTTTCATAAGAGATTTTTGAGATGTCTCAGGCGGGGCGCTGGTTTCAGCATCCCTCAGGGGAGCCGACAGGGGTGTTTTCATGGGCCCGTGCGAGGCCAGTTTGTGGGGATGTCTCAGCCGGTTAACTCGTTTTCATGGCCAACATCCTTGGCTTTCAGAGCAGATGTTGAGGATGTCGCAGGCGGGGCGCTGGTTTCAGCACCCCTAAGGGGAGCCGCCATGGGTGTTTTCACGGGCCCGTTCGCTGCTTGCTTGTTTTCATGGCCAACACCCTTTGCTTTCAGAGCAGATTTTGAGGATGTCTCAGGCGGGGCGCTGGTTTCGGTACCCCCAAAGGGGGGCCGCCAGGGGTGTTTGCACAGGCCCGTTCGCGGCCATGTTGTGGTGATGTCTCAAGCGGTTTGCCTGTTTCCATGCTTAACACCCTTCGCTTGGGGAGCAGATTGTGCGGATGTCTCAGGCGGGGCGCTGGTTGCAGCACCCCTAAGGGGAGCCCCCAGGGGGTAGGACACGGGCCCGTTCGCGGCCAGTTTGTGGGGATGTCTCAGGCGGTTTGCTCGTTTTCATGCCCAACAAGCATCCCCAAGGAGAGCCGCCAGGGGGGAGGACACGGGCCCGTTCGCGGCCATGTTGCGGGGATGTCTAAGGCGGTTTGCTCGTCAGTGCGCTCATGAACCGAGGCTCACTATGGCATGACATAAAACATGAGATGCACATGTGGGGAGCTCCACGCAGTGAGTAATTTTATATGCTTCTCTTTATTTCTTTCTCTCTATGTCTCTCTCGCTCCCACATCTCTCCCTCCGCGAACACATACATGTATGTTTTCCTTCTCCTCGTCATCGTCGGCGTCGTCCTCCTCTTCCTCCTCCTCCTCCTCCTCCTCCTCCTCTGTCTCCCTGCTTTACCCTTTGGCTTCCTCTTCCTCCTCTCATGTGTGTCCTGTTCCCGTTCATGTCATCACAAGGGGGGGGGGGGGGGGCGAACGTTCTTACTTCTCTCTGCGCGCGTGGCCACAAGGAGGGCGCGGCCTCTGGAGGCTACACCTGGGGGGCACGCTTTGGGGGCTGCACCTGGGGGCTGCGCGTAGGGGGCTTCACTTGGAGGGTACACGTGGGGGCGCGATTCGCCCACGCCGCCGCCCCCACACTCGGATCCGCCTGTGCGGGGTGTTTGCGTAATTCTTCCTCCTTCGCTTCCTCATCCTCTTCTCATCCGTCCTTTTGCCCCAGTATTGCTTCATATTATTATTCTTATTCATTTCATATACACATACGTACACATACCTACCTACCTACCTGCCTGCCTACCTACCTACCTACCTACCTACCTACCTACATACATACATACATACATACATATATATAGTCATCCAATCAGACGTACACGTGTATGTATGCATCTATCGATATATATATATATATATATATGTGTATATATGTGAATGTATGTATGCATGCATGTATGTATGTATGCATGTATGTATGTATGTATGCATGTATGCATGTATGTATGTACATATGTATGTGTGTATGTATGTATGTATGCATGCATGTATTTATGTATGCATGCATGCATGTATGTATGTATGTTTGTATGTATGCAGGTATGTATGTATGTATGTATGTATGTATGTATGTATGTATGTATGTATGTATGTATGTATGCATGCATGCATGCATGCATGTATGTATGTATGTATGTATGTATGTATGTATGTATGTATGTATGTATGTATGTATGTATGTATGTATGCACATATGTATGTGTGTATGTATATATATTTATATATATATATATCAATGAACAGAGCCTGGCGCCATCCCGCCGACCCCCCAGAGGAGCGCATGTGCGGCTGCCTATGTCGTATGTGTTCTTGCCTCTTCCCGTCGTGCTGCTTGCGTGCAGTTGTTGCCGATCTGCCCTGGTCTTCCCCCGCGCCTGCTGCGGGGCCTCTTGGGGCCTCTTGGAGGTCTCGGGCCTCGGGGGTGGCCTCGTGGGTGCCTTTTTTTCAGAGCTCGTGATGGCCTTCTTGGAGGCCCTCTGGGAGCCATCTCGCGGGGGAGGGCTTACGGGCCGGGTTTCCCCCTCTTGGGCCCCTCGGGTGTCCTCCTGCGGGGCTTCTCTTCGGGGGCCGTCAGTGGGCCCTCTTGTGCCGCCTCTGGGCCCTGTCAGGGGGGCGTCTTGGGCCGGTCTGGGCGGGCCCCGCGGGCCGCCGAGGGCCTGCGGAAACCCGCAAAGGCAAGAAGGCGACAGCATCAAACAGCATACGCATTCAATGAGTTTGCCTCTGGAGGCCCCCGCTTGGATTCCTCCTGGGGCCCTCCTGGGGCGTCTTGCGACAGCTTCGGGTGTTCTCGGGGCCTCTCCGGCGTGCCGGAGCCTCTCTTTGGCCATCTCAGGGTGCCTCTTGGGGCATCTCGGAGGCCACGGGTGGTGGATCTGGAGGCTCCCGGAGGCCCCCTTGGGGTGCGTGGGCGAGCTCGTCGTTGACGAGTCGTCGCCATCCCTTGGGCCCCCCGGGGAGCGGGAGGGGCGGAGGGGGACGGCCAGTCATCGCACACGCCGTGCCACTCTTGGCAGGCGGGGGTCGGCGGACTCTCGCCCCCGTCCTCTCGTCCCCATGCTCGGGTCCTCTGCCCCTCGCCCTCTCTCTGTCCGTCTCTCTCTGGCTCTCTCTCCATCTTTCGGTAGCTCTCTGTATTTATCTGTTTCTGCCTGAATCTTTCTGTATATCTTTGTACCTTTCTCTCTCTCTCTCTTTGTCTCTCCATGTCTCTCTCTCTCTGTTTATCTCTGTCTCTCTCTCTCTCTCTCTCCCTGCCTGTCTCTGTCCCTCTATCTCTGTCTGTCTCTCTTTGCCTTGCTGCCTCTCTCTCTCTCTCTCTTTGATCTCCAGCTTATTATCCACCCCCTTCTTCACCGTCTCCTCCTCCTTTTCCTCACTTCCCTCCTTCTCCTCCCTCTCCTCCTCCTCCTCCGCCTCCGCCTCCGCCTCCTCTCCTTCTCCTCCTCCTCCTCCTCCTTCTCCTCCTCCCCTTGCCCTCCTGGCACCGAGGTGCCGGAGCGGCTGCCTTGGTTCCTGGACATCCGCTCGTGCCGCCGCCGCGCGCAGCGCCCCTACCAGCAGCTCCCGATCGCGGCCCTCTTCCTGAAGGAGCATGGTAAGGAGGAGGAGGGGCAGGGAGGATTGATACGCGAAGACCAGGATGATGCTGATGAGGATGATGATGCTGCTACTGCTGATGATGCTGATAATTATGATGCTGATGCTACTGATGATGCTGCTGATGATGATGATGCTGCTGCTGATGACGATTATGGTGATGACGACGATGATGGTGATGATGATGCTGATGCTGGTGCTGTTGATGGTGATGTTGATGTTGATGTTGTTGTTGACGGTGATACTGATGATGCTAATGATGAGGATGCTCATGATGATACTGAGGTTGCTGATGATGCTGCTGCTGATGATGCTGAGGATGCTGATGACGATGATTATGATGGTAATGCTGATGATGCTGTTGATGGTGGTGATGCAGACAACGATGATAAAGATGATGATGCCGATGATGACGATCCTGGTGATACTGATGATCCTGCTGATGATGATTCTGATGCTGATGCTGATGATGCTGCTGATGATGATGCTGATGATGGTGCTGATTATGCTGCTGATGCTGATTATGATGATGCTGATGATGATGATGATGCTGTTGTTGATGATGCTGCTGCTGATGATGATGGTGATTGTGATGATGATGGTAATGATGATGGTGATGATAATGGTGATGCGGAGGATGAGGAGGATATGGAGGAGGAGGTGGATGAGGAGGAGGATGACCAGTGTAAACCCAAGGGTCACCAACGATGTTGGAAGAAACCCTCCCCCCAAGCTCCTTCATATGCCCCTACAACAGTTCATTTCCACAGGGGCCTGTCTCGTTGGAAAACAACCGTTTGAAGACCCTGACGCATGCCAAAACATTGCTCTCGGGATTCCAACGCCACGGACCACCCTGACTGTTGCGTCTTGACAACCCTGAATCCTGCCAGAACGCTATTTCTGGGACGTCAAACTGCGAACCATCGTAACGGTTGACCCTCATTATCGTGAATCCTTCCAGAAAGCATGTCTGGTACACCGATCATGGGAATCAGGGAACTTTTGCAAATGTCTAAAACGAGTGTGCGCGGCGCTAACGTGAAAGCCGCATTTTGAAAAGGAGCCGCCTTACATCAGTGAAAATCTTGCAATTTTGAAAACGAATATGCGCGGCGCACAGGCGAGAGCCACATTTCGAAAACGACCCGCCCTTAAGCCTTGGAACTGTTGCAAATTTGTAAGACTAGACGAATGTGCGCGATGCTAAAGCGAGAGCCACATTTTGAAAAACACCCGCCCTCATCCGTGAATCTCTTGCAAATGTTTAAACGAGTGTGCGCGGCGCTAATTTTTCCCGCGCGACGGTCAGCCACAGAACAGTTGTTTGCCTGGTGTGGTCCCAAGGATTCGTGTTGATACAGCGGAGACGTGCGCGCCGCTGAGGCGAGAGCCACACTTCGAATGCCATCCTCCCTCCATCTGTGAAGCTGTTGCCAATGTTGATGCCTCAGTGTCATAATTGGTGAGGAAGTCTCAGGCGAAACGCCCAGACCGCCCTAAACACTTGCCTCGGGGTGCGACAGGGAGAAGTTGTTTATGAGGAAAAGGAATGAATAATGAGGAGGAGGTGGAGGAGGAGGAGGTCGGGGGATTGCCCTGCGTGGTGCTGCGTCTGCTCTTGACCCCATTGTCTGGCCTTTGTCCGCGCCGAGGTGACCCAAATCGGCTCGCGTCCTTTTTTCGAGCACGAGCGCTGCAGGCATTGCTGTTGACGTTTGTCTAACGTCAAAAGGGATTTTGCGGAGGGGGGGTGGGAGGGAGGAGGAGGAGGAGGAGGAGGGAGGAGGAGGAGGAGGAGGTGGAGGAGGATGAGGAGGATAATGAGGAACAGGGCTAGGAGGAGGAGGAGGAGGAGGAAGAGGAGGAGGAGGAAGAGGAGGAGGACGATGAGGAGGAGGAGGAGGAGGAGGAGAGGAAGAGCAGTGTGCCTTGACGGTTTGCAGTATCCCTTCGTACTTGGTGCGTCTGCCATCAGGTTCAGCTTCGATGGCTCGCTTCCGCTACTGTCGAGGAGGAGGAAGATGTGGAGAAGGAGAAGAAGGAGGAGGAAGAGGAGGAGGAGGAGGAGGAGGAGAGAAGCGGGGAAGAGGAGCCGGGAGGAGGGGGGGGATCAGGAGGAGGGGTGGGGGACTCGTCTCGACCTCAAGTATCCTCGCCATCCTGTGTGACAGAGGATGGGGGATCCAGTCTGTGCAAGGAGAGGTATACGATCAGGAGCTTTGGCTCAGTGTGTCGCGCCGCGGATTCTGGCCCACCACGCTTCTGCGCGACACGCTGGCCTCTTCCCAGTCCCGAAACGTCAACGTCGCGAGTTTTCCCGACCTCCCGCGCCGCGGAGCGGGGCGACACGATATCCCCTTTCAAGGCATAGCGTGTCGCTGGGGCCGCCGCCGCGACACGCTAAGCAAACGTTACCGACCGTATTGCATGCGCTCAAGCATCTGCCGTGCGTAGTTGTGTCAGCTTCCAAAACGGCACATCCAGCATTTGCATTCATGACCATCTTGGCTCACACACCCTATCGGGGATGCGACACGGAGGCTCAAGTCCTACAGCTCACAAAAGAAACACCGACTGCACAAAGAACACCTCGAGGACGGCGTGCTTGGAAGCCGATCGTTGGTTAGCTCGACGTCAAGCGTAGGTGTCCTGCGCTCGGGATCCGCGAAGTCATTGCGATAGAAGCTGATGCTGCAGCTGCCTCTAACATCGACAATATTTCCGGACAGCGCAATGATGCGATTCGGCGCGTCCGCGAACTCGACGCCGTGGCACGGAGACAGAGAACCTGGCAGCTTATAGTTCGCGTGGGCCACGCAGCCGAAGGCAAAGAACATGGTCGCAGGCCCTGAAGGCCGCTCCCAGCAACCTGTGATAGAGAGCCCGTCCTTGCGGAACGGACTCCCTGACGAGGGGGGTGGGGGACGCGCCGCGTTGGGGCGGTGTCAGGGGCCACATGCAAGAGGGGGCACGACGAACCCTTCACCCTGGGGGTTCAAAGATACAAGAGACACTGCGCTGCTCGACCTTCACAGGCGCGAGCCCAAACACGCACAACACAGCACCCCACTTGCGGGATCCCAGCGAAAGAGCACGGCACGACATCGGGTTTTTCTCAGGCCCTGTCGAGTCACTGGTGACTACCTGTGTCCACTGCAGTACTTGTCAACGGCCGCTCAAGTCCCCCACCCATGGAGCCTGGCGCGAGTCCAGACCTCAGCCCAAAGGGTGATTCGAAGGCGAAGGCGGCTCAGGCAGTCGGATCCAGGGCGACCACAGCTCATCACGTACATAGATACCCCCGAGAGTTAGAATCCCTCCGACAGTCCATTTCAAGCCTCTCGCAAATAGTGTGCGTGTGTACCCGTACGAACGCTGACCTGTACGAGACCACCATGATGCCGTCTAACCGAACAATGTCCAAGCCTGCGCCACGATGCGGTGGTCAGCCGCCATGCTCCACGACCCAGTCTGGAGGCCTGGGCATCGTCGGGTCACTCGAAGAGATGCATGTGCGCCGAGGCCCAGAGCACGCTCCTGTACCGCTCGGGGGTTTAGATGACGCGCTAAACGGGGGGCCGAATCACCGTCCTGATGCCGCGGCCGTGTGAGCAGGACATAGGCCAGTGAGGTGCTCGGGCACGCCGAAGCTCAGCCGAGGGGTTTCGTCACGCATGCGCATAGCCTATATCCCTTTGGGAGTCCGACGCTGAGGCTAATGTACAAATAGCCCGCGCGTCACACCCTCGCGTACAGCACAGAGGCTCATTCATTGTGACATGGCTGAACCTAAACGTTGTTTTTCGCTTAGTTTTCGTTTAGTTGTTCGTTTTGCTCGACCTGTTTTCCTGTACCTCCCTGCCAACACGAAAAACAAAACACAGCCGAAGTCCAGCAAAACCGCGTTTAGGTCCAACCCTGCATTGTGACAATTACTTTGCTGATTGCGGCTGTTCCCGTTTTTCAGGGTTCCCCATGTGGTACAAGCCCAGTCTTGCTCGTACCCGGACCACCAGAGTTGGTGGTTGTGGTGCACCTCTGTGCCGAGGCACGGCGAACGATCACTCTCCAGGAGCGCCCCGGTGGAACCGGGTGGCAGGGAGCGCAGAGGCCATGCCAGGATGTCAGACCTCGTGGGCCGTGGGTGGCACGCTCTAAACCTCCCCGCTTCGCCTCGCCATTCTGAACCGTGCGCTTGGCATCGCAGGCGTGCTGCAGGCGCTCCGTCGCGACCTCCTCCTTTTGGCTTCCGGTGCTTCGGCGTCGACCGCTTCCGCCCGCTTGAGGGGTCAGTGTCTGCGAACGCCCGTAAAGTGGCGACGAAGCGCGAGGACTGAGCCGAAGAGGAGGAGGAGGAGGAGGAGGTTGAAGATGATGATGAGGAGGAGGAGGAGAGGCTAAATAGAAAGGAAGAGGTGAGGGATGACGTGGAGGGGAAGGAGGAGGAGGAGGAGGAGGAGGAGGAGGAGGAGGAGGAGGGGGAGAAGGATTAGGGGAGGATGTGAAGCAGTCCCCCTCAAGGCGGACAAGCTCGACGACCTGGCAGTCCACGCCTTCGTTTCCCGGCAGCGGCCTCGAGAAGGAGGAGCAGGAGGTGGATCAGGAGAAAGGAACATATTGCGGAGATCGTATAATGATGAGAGGATGGTGACGATGACGATGTTTATGATTATGGTGGTGATAACGGTGATGATGATGGTGATCCTGACTATTGTGATAATAGTGATATAATGCTGATAATGATGATGCCGCTGCTGATGCTGCTGCTGATGCTGCTGATGCTGTTGATGATGATGGTGATGATGATGATGATGATGACAAGATGAAGGTGAACATGACTACACATGTGATGACGATAGTGCCGCTGCTGCTGCTGCTGCGGCTCCTGCTGCTCTGCTGCTCATGATGGTGATGCGGATGATGATGAATGACGATGATGCAGATGATGATGCTGATGCTGATAATGATGATGATGGTGATAATGTGATGATGATGATGATGGTGATGATTATGACAGTGGTGGTGGTGGTGGTAGTGATGATGTGATGGTGGCTATGCTTCACTAGCCAATCCTCCCCAACCCAACCCGAAGGTTCCAGACCCCCCCAACATGTCAGGTTTGGGGGGTCCACGGGTTCCACTGTAATTTCTGAATGTTCCGGAGTGCCCCCACTGGACATTGACAGGCCAAGCGGCGACTTTGAGTTTGGTGCGGATGTCTTGGTAGGTAGTCAATGCTGGTGGCGACGACAGCGGTGCTGCTGCTGACGATTATGATGAGGATGATGATACGGATGATGATCATGATCATGATCATGATGATGCAACCGTTCACGATGTTGCTGATTTTGATGGTGACGTTGATGCGATTGTGTTGGTAAGGATGATGCTTATGATGATTATGCTGATGATGATGATTACAATGAGGTGGAGGCATGAGGAGATGGATCGACGAAGGTTCGGAGGAGGAGGTGAATGACACGACGCCAGGATGACGATGACGATCATGATGGTGATGGTGGTGATGATGCGGGTGGTTACGATGGTGATGATGACGATGACTGTGGTTTTCTTGAAGAGGATAAGGGTTGCGATGATGCTGGTGCTGATGATGCTGATGATGATGATGATGAGGATGATGATGACGATGTTACACAAGATGATGAGGATGCTGATGATAGTGATGGTGATGACGATGATGCTGATGCTGCTGCTGATGATGATGATACTGATGAGGATGATGATGATGATGATGACGATGATGATGTTGCTGCTGCTGCTGATGATGATCGTGAGGATGATGATTAGGATGACGGTGATGCTGATTCTGATAACGATGCTGATTATGATGATGCTGCTGATGATGATGAGGATGATGATGCTGATGCTGATGCTATTGATGATGATGATGCTGCTGCTGATGATGATGACGATGATGATCATGATGATGATGATGATGATGGTGATGATGGGGATGATGATGATGATGATGATGATGATGATGATGATGATGATGATGATGATGGGGATGATGATGATGATGATGCTGCTGATGACGATGATGTTGATGATGGATGGTGATGATGATGTTGCTGCTGATGATGATGATGCCGTTGCAAATGATGATGATGATGATGATGATGATGATGATGACGATGATGATGATGATGATGATGATGATGATGATGATGCTGATGCTGATGATGATGATGATGATGATGATCATGATCATGATCATGATGATGCTGATGATGATGATGATGATGATGATGATGATGATGATGATGATGATGATGAGGATGATGATGATGATGATGATGATGATGATGATGATGATGATGATGATGATGATGCTGATGCTGATGATGATGGATGGTGATGATGTTGAGGAGGATGCTGCCGATGACGACGATGCTGATGATGATGCCGATGACGATGACGATCATGATGACGATGACGATGACGACGACGATGAAGTT